TGGTTGGGTTCCTTCCTCCCTTAAGTTGGTTTTTGAAAGTGAGTTCTAACCAAGCCAACTTTATCATGATATCCGGGCCATGTTTGTTTGAAGCGATTAATGGGTTTAGACCCAATCTTACATGTCAAGCATGAGGAAGGGTATTGAAGTTTAATCTGTCCCACATTGCCAAGTTGGTGGGTTGTCGATTGAGTTAGCTTTTGGGTCATATCATAATGTTTGTGGCGATGATGGGTTTGAGCTCAGCCTTGCATGCCGAGCATGAGAGAGGATATTGAAGTTGAATTTATCTCACATCGCCAAGTTGATGGATTGTCTCTTAAACTTGAGCTAGCTTTTGGGTACTCAAGCCCACTTTATCATAAAGCAATTCCTGTATAAATGCTAACTAGTGTTAGCTTAAGTTCATCTAAAAGCTACTTTTCTTCCACAATAGAAGCAGTAGTTGCTCTATCACATAAGAAAATGGATGCCACGAACTTTGATGTGAAAATAATGTAAAGACTATTGACGAATCTAAGAGTGGGATCAAGGGGCATGCGGAGGCTGGGTTAACCAAAGATTCCGAGAATCTTTGCTCAAGAGAACCTTAGGCTTGATGTCAAGTCTAATCCTTACACAAGTAACGGGATTCAAATCCCTCTTATCAACCTTAATGGCATAAATAACTCAACTCGACGTGAAGCGACTGTTGAGTGTTGACCAGATTCGTAGTGCCAATGAAACTTGGAGATCTTTCTAATCCTACACCATGGTATTGTCACAAGTATATTGGACGAAATGATCTTGGGAATAAAACAATTTAACGAAGACAGAAAAGCTAAGGAAGAGCTATATTTTCGTAATAGCAAGAAGAAAGTGTCATTTAACACAAAAGTTGATTCGGCATTAACAGCTTACTGCAGAGATGCTCTCACATGTATTGTGGCACCTAACCCTCTCCAGCTCCCCACAAATTACCCGAAGCAAGCAGGCACCAACTATATCATAATTATTTATTGAAAGAATAGTTAGTTTCACTAGTTTTTAAATAACTATTATATTTCCTTTCTGAAAGGATTTTGATCCCTTGTGGGAGCTTTGGTTGATGAGTATCTTTTGGAGTGGTCAGCTTTCCCTGCAGCCTTGTTGGCGTGGCTAGGCTGTTTACCCCACACCCCACCACAAACCCCCCACCCCCCACCCCACCCAACCCCCCCGCCCCCACAGGCTGCTGCTAAAGGCTTTCTCCGGGAGATTGGCGCTTGCCTGTTTCTGTTTTCTTGCAGTCTTGGTCTCCTGTCTGGTTTTTTATGGTTGGCTGGGCTAGTGTTTTGTATGCAGTCCTTGCTGGCTGGGGGTTGGCTGCTGGCTGCTGGTTTGTTTTGGGTGATGCTTTTGGTCTGTCCTGGCTTGTGTTGTGGCTGCTGTTTTGCGCTGCTTTTGACCCCATTTTGCAAAGGCTCCTCCCCTGGTTGTTTTTGCTGGCCAGGGGTGTGTTGCTAATTGTAAAGGATTGCATATCCTTGCTCTTTGGTTCTTTTTGTTGGTAGTCCTTTGTGTCCTGTAAGATTGCTTTGTTTGGGGTTTCTATCCTTTTAGTTATAAATTTTTTATTCTTTATGAAATTACCATTTAAGAAAGGAAATTAAATTCATACTAATTTCTTTATGATTAATTTGCTTAAAGGGAAATTATACTTTGTTATACTTTATAGTCATTTTAAATAGGGGTGTGCAAAACCGGATATCCGATCCAGTTTTGCATTTTTCTGATCCGATCCGAAAATTTGGATCAGAATAAAAACTGATTCGGATTCCATTTGATCCGATCTGAATATTCGGATTAGATAAACTGGATATCCGGTTTTATCCAAATTTCATGGAAAATATTAATTTGCTCCCTAAAATTTTGCATTATTGCTTATACCCCCAACCACATCATCATTTTATTACATTTTGTCCCCCAAAGTTGTCATTGTATTAAACAGTCCACATACTTTACCACTTTTCACCTAGGACACCAAAATAACTTCTTAAAAGTTAAAACTTATAGTTATGGACAAAACCGAATCTAATCCAGATATCCAGTTTCTTTATAAAGCCGATCCAGTATCCGATCTAAAAATTCCACAAATTGATGTCCAAATCCAATCCGAATTTTTGGACATCCGATTTTTTCAAATCGGATCAAATACAGACCGGATATCGGATATCAAAATTTTTTTCACACCACTAATTTTAAATTAACATCCTGCCTTTTTTTTTTCAAGTTAATGTGCGTGTTATTATTATTTGATAACTAGATGGCACGCCCGCATGTTGCACGGGTTTATTTATTATATTGTTTTTATTTTATTATCAATTTTTTATATTTTAAGAAATTGTAAACGACTATTGTTTCACAAAAAAAAATGTCAAATATTGATTATAATAGAACATTTTGTTATTGTTCTTTTTTTTTTTTTAATCAGGTTTTTATGTTTAAAGATTGTTGAAAATCGTTATATGATTGTCATTTAGGATGTTGTTAATTGGTCCCTGTGTTTGCTGCTTATTGGTGTTAATAAAATAGGGATAATTCACATACATTCAATTAATGTACGCAGTACAGATTTTTCACATTCCTCTTTTGATTTGATAAAATGCAAGTGATGGAAGATTGAAATGGTCAGTTTGTAATTCAGTAGGAATTGAATTAATTGAATTCAATACATAGAAGTTGAAAGTCCCACAACTTATGAAAGTGGTTTTAACACAAATAAATTAATTAATTGAAGAACGACATAATACTATAACATTTTAGTGATAAGAATATATTCCCTTTTCAAAGCAAAAGAAGAGTTGCAACACGTTTCTTACAACAATTTGGTACATAATAATATAATTGAAATGACAATTTTGCCCTTCTTAAAATTAGTAGTTCCTACATAGAATATAACCATTGCTCTGAGGTCCAACAGTTAATCTTTCACCATTTTAAAAGGCTGCCCAGCACCATGAAATGAATAAAAATAAAATAAAATAAAATTTGTCATCCTTCATCATCCAACACAAACTCTATTCACCACAAAACACAAACTATTACTACTACAAAATCCACAACAAAAACATGTATAACCTATCTAAGAATGTAAGTTTGCAACTTTTTGATAATAAAATTTATATATATAGTTCTATTTTTTTCCTTGAGGAATACCAAGTTCATTTTCTTTGGTAATAATCAGGGATTCACGTTTCTATAAATTGAATATTACATGTATGATTGAGCCTGTTATTTCTAACAAAGCATTCATTATATCTCTGTTCATCACTCTGACAGTGTTGAGTTTGTCCAGCGTGACTTTAAAGTTTTGTAAAATACCTTTCATTTCAGGCGAACCATCTGACGTTGCTGTTTGGCCTTCTAAAAATAAAAAAATGGACATCTAAAAGTAGATATGTAGAAGGAATATAAGAGTAATCAGTTGATGTTATTTACCACAGGCTTCTGTTTGTTTGGATTTTGGATTGAAAATAGTTGGTCTTTTGTCTTCCATTTGTTAATTGTATCTGTGTAAAATGAAAGAAATATTTGAAGGTGTATGGATTGTTGAATTCTCTACTCTTATATAGCTTTAAATGTCATTAAGTAATATTATATGATAATTAATGATTACAACAACTATTCATGTTATGTTCAATGTAATTGGATTATTGCTAATTAATATGACTTTTGATATTTTTTAATAAGTGTTTACATCTTATTAGTTATAGTTATTTTGATTTAAATGTTTTATTGTTATTAGATAAGTTTAAAATTTTCAGATTTATATTAAATATTAAATGATAATACATTTTATAAAAAACATTTTTCGTTATTATGTTTGATATTTTTGTTTAATTGAATGTGAATTGGTAAAGATATATTAATATTAATAATAATTAATTGAATGTGAAAGGGTACAAAAATATTAATATTAATTAATAATAATAATTAATATGCATGAATGAACATTGAATATTAATATATTAATAAAGTGTATTATTAAATTTTATGAATGTAAAAAGATATATTGTCTCTTTATCAAATTATAAGAAGAATGTAAAAGATCTCAAATTAAAAGAGGAATGTAATAGATTTGTATTAAATACATTAATTGAAATGTATGTAAATAATTTCTATTATAACAATCTCTTAATATTCATAAAAATCAAAACACACAATTGAATCATTAGTAATTTATCAAATTAAAAGAGAAATATGAAAGATCTCAAATTAAAAGACGTATGTAAAAGATTTGTATTGAATACATTAATTGAATGCATATAAATAATCTCTATTATAACAAGCCTAATAAACAGCAAACACGTGGACTAATTAACGGCACTCTACGTGACGATCATATATCAATCCTACGTGACATTAGAAGAAGCAGTCTGTTTCAGCATTATATAAATATATAGATTTTAGGAACAAAATTTGTCCTAATGGAACAATAGACCAATATGGAGTGACCGTAAAATGAGACTCAAATAATTAATAACATTGCATTTAAAAAAAAAAAAAAAAAAAAAAAAAAGGATAACATATCTACAAATACTCAATAATGTACACCTATCAATAAAATTTTAAAAGCTCAGATCAGGAAAGAATCCTAGTTCATTCCACGACAATAAATATAAAGGAACACAAATGCATTTGCTTAAATATTCTATTAGTATTCTAAATCAAAATACTATTCCAAATTGTTCATGTATTTTTAATTTTCAAATCTTATCTCATAATAACCACTCAATTACCTCGTAATAACCACTAAATTCTACCTAACAAAAATATTTCAAAAATACTAATCCAAATAACTAAAATACACGTTTGTTTCTCCATCCTACTCGTATTCCAAATCAAAATACATATTTGTTTCCCTATTTTCAAAATCTTATCCTAAATTATTCAACTATTTTTAATTTTTAAATTTTACCTCGTAATAATCACCCAACTCCATTTAACAATAATATTTCAAAAATGCTATTCTAAATATCTAAACAAAGGGTCCCAAGTGTTTCAATTGCTTAGCAAAGTCAACAATAAAAATATTAACAGATAAAAGAATTCATTTTTCAAAACAACAAAAATGTTTCCTTCGTGAATCAAGTATTCACAACCTAAAAAGGATCGGAACCTCATTACTAACAACTGAGTTAAATTAATACACTACAGCCCCTAACAACTTGGGCACTTCAGCATAATCTACATTCCTGTGGGTGACAATCAAGCTTTTTACATAGGTCTTAACTGCACGAAGACTCGGCAACCCAGGGATAGGAATCCAAACCTGATAAACTAAATGCCAGATAATTTCTCTCCGTTGATCATCAGAGATTGAAATGGCACTCTCTTAATTTCTACAAACGTTGAGTAGTCTGTGTTCATCGGCTGTTTCCACGGTTCTCCATCCATTTGCATATATGCATCTTTCCACTCCCCACCCCTAATTTCTAATCTAATGGCTGCAGCCTGAAAGATACCCGTTAAAATTATCAGCAATATATGCAACAATGTGTTGAAAAGACATTTAAAAGAAAAAAAAAAATCAGAATGCCAAGCACAAAGCATCTTTTAATTTTTTTCTGCTGGTCCATTCTTTTTATATATGTATATGAAACAGGAACATATATAAATATGTGAGAAATTTACAATTTGCCACGATAGTGAACATGAATCAAGGATTGGGAGCAGAATGATCCTGGAAATCTAAAATCAACAGAGACACTGAACCTACACTTCAGAGCTTTACTCTTCAGCAAAAAATTAGTAAAGCACTTGCAAAAATAAAGTTTCAGAAGACCATTACCCAACAAGAAGTCAACTGGCTTCGCAGATAAGAATATGGCTATAACAGTTTGACTTTATACTGTTACTTCAGATTAAAAAATCAAAGGATTGTACTTTGTTCATTTCAGATGGCAAACAGATTGCAGAACTCTATAAGTCTATTCATATTTACTTCACGTTAGCAAAAAACCACAGCAATGATGAAAGAAAGACAGCTTGGATCGCTCTTGTTCAAAAAGAGGGAAACAAATCTGCACATATTGTTTTGGCTTTTCTGCCTTTTCCTTTGATATAATTAATGCATTCTATGTAACAATTAATATGCCATCAGAGCGGCTATTTGTATAGATTTCATGCAACTGAACTTTTGCCTCTTTTGGCTTTCTTATGCCACTGGTAATTCAACAAGTACTTATTATTTAGAGAAATACTGAAGGGAACACTGTTGGAGGCAAGAAGGGTGAGTTCAACCCATAAAAAATGATGCAGGTCATCTGAGGGTAAAACCCAACTATATCCAATAATATTCCCATGCAGGTCTATCTAATAATAGACTTCTACCCTTGCATTTGAAGTGGAAAAACATGAACTACTAGCAAAAACAAAATAATTCCATTGCAACTGCAGTACCTGAGCAATGTGTTTGGCAGAGATGAGTTCAACCATAACAAATGATGCATGCCATCCTTGCTTCAAGCCAAAAATTTCTAGGAGACCATCATCAGCGTGGGCCTCAACAAATCCTTTCTGAAATTAAATAAAATTACCATAATAAGGTTATGAATTAACACAGTTTCTCAAAAAAAAAAAAAAAATGAATCAAGCATGCTGAAAGTTTTAACAGGTAGGTAGTTGAATTCAAATAATTTTCACCTTCTCCAAATACTCCGGACTCAAATTACCCCATGGGTTCCTTCCACTTGCATAGTTGTGAAGATTTAAAGCAACTATTGCCCTCACACTACAAGAAACAAATATAGCATTAACCAAAACTCAAACTAAAAGAACAGAATATATGTTTCTACACTGCTACTTGTCTGATACCACACTTAATTCAGCAATATAGTTATTAAGCTGAAGAATGAAAATACAAAGATGCAAGGCAAAGGATAATAGTGAATAAGCATTCATTTTTAGTGACGGCCATCAAAAAGCAAATCATCTCTCTGATATTTGAAACCCACCTTTTAGGAACTGGAATCTGCTCCCATTCTGAGCAATTGACCTTCTTAACATGCAACCTTAGGATGTTCTTCAGTCCCCTGCAGAATTTTTCAATAAATATTAGAATACAGAAGACCATTGTATCAGTAAAAACATTTGCATCAAATGTAATAGTAGCTGATGAGGCAGATAAATATCGCTCAACAGGAGAACTGTTGACATTTTCGGAAAATTTAATCTCATAATAAGAATGCACTAGCTCAATAAACTAATTAGTATAGACAGCCAAGTCTGCACATATTAGCCCACATGCAACTCAACACTCATGCCAAAAATAAAGCTTCAACATATCAGGTACACAAAACCGGTTGAGGCTACTATGCCTCTACTGATGCACAAATCATGAATACTTTCTTCTCAACCAGGGAAGGAATATGAACTAAAGTATTACGATAAAAATGAAGGTTGGTTGCAAAGGGGGCACCAACAAGCTAAAACTATCATAAAGAAAACCGCTTAAGTCGAGATATCTAACCTTAAACTTGGATCGCTTATGCAAGGTGTGAGAAACCAACCCTGAGTGCAAGTATAGCCAGAGTAGATTAGCTGCATAACAGAACCATAAACTGCATTAGTAACACTCAAAACTATCAGGAGCCAGTAACGCATTGATTTGGCTTTTGCCGAAGTATTGTGAAGAGGAGCTACAGTAAGAGTGCAGAGTAGTTGAAAATGATATTGAATTTTCATATTTTTACATGCCATTTTAAACCAGATAAAAAAGAAACAAATCTCAACATCCAAGCACATGCATTGATATCTACACTTGCAAAACTCCAATCATTCTTCACTTGCCATCAACAAATTAGCAAATTTGCACACAAAGAACAAAAATTGTAAGTTCCTGTATATTCTGAGTCCAATGATTTCTGGAACATGAAGGAGAACATCAAGCAATATAACAAGGAAAGTGTTATAAGATTATTCTTCTGCTTCCACGTTTATTTGTGTGTTTCTGGCCATTTACACCTGTTTCTCAAGTCAGACAAATTCACTAGAGAGAAATGGAATTAGCCAAAGAGTTAGGGTGTCTGGAAGTTCCATCTTATGTAGTATTACTTCTTCTAAACTATTAAAAACTCTACTGAGCTTTACACCAAAATATTCATGTGCATTAGAAATTTAAGAACATAATCCAGGAATAATAATTTTTAGAGCAAGTAAGAAAACCTACAGTGAACGAACTTTAGTTATGTTAATTATAAATCAGTTCCCACCCTCCTTCCCTAGCAATATCTTTAGAGAAGTCTAGTCATATATACTACACTAACAAATGATTCCACAATGCCAGGAAGCAGAAACAAATAATTGGCTAAGGGACTTGAAGACCGAAAATTAACATTGCTAATGCACTTCCAAGGTAAATCAAGAATTTATAAACCATAAATGAATGTTCAATCAGACCTTGTTTGTAATTGGGCCTTGTGCAAGGTAAGGTTTTTCGTTACGTAAATGGTGGAAGCCATAAGCAACTTGAGCATCCATTCCTGTGAAACCAAACAATAAAGTAAAGAACTTATTAAAAAGAAGCAAATATTCATTAGCAGAAACAAGCAAAGGTTAGTCATTCAAAACATTTGAACTTAAACTAACATTCTTCCTTTCTAAAGATTTCTAGTGTATTATGGGAGAGACCTACATCCCATAAAAATTGTCTACCTGAGACAATTCCCTGGCTTGTAGGTCCTGACATAAGGTTGATCTTGTTCGAGCTAAGCAAATGCTGCATTAGCCAACACTAGAAGATTGGGCTGAGCTCAACAGGTTATCTTAACCTTAATGGGTGCATAGCAATATAACAAAAGAAAAGCAAGTCTAAAGGGAACTTTGACAACTGAGTATATCTTAAGCAAATAGAAAATTTCTCCAAGTTCAATTTCATTGATTAAAAGAACATGAAGTTCAGATGCTAAAATTAGCACCAAACGGACTCCTATAAGAGATTGGTTTGGTGCACAATATCCTATTTCAGCAAACCCTCTTCAGAAGCTTCCACAATCAAAGACCAGAAGACATTATCTAAACCAAAAAAAAATAATAGATATATTATATATATATATATATATTTAATCAATATGTCACACCTAAACTAAAATAATTATAAAACACTCCTTCGTAGCTAACAACTTTCTCAGGCAAATCCCCCTCAATCTGCAAACCCTGCACACACCAAAAAATTATATGATCAAGAACACAAATTTTGTATCATAGGTTCACTGCATCAAAATTCTAAGAACAATACACCAAAGAACAGACTTGCAATAACAATAGGATGGGAAGCATCGATATACAACCCATATATCTCACTTAAATTTTGTTAATGTTTTGCAGTCATGGCTTCCCGAAACTATTTTCCACACATCCTCTTGCACTCTGTGCATGCAAATCTTGTAAACTCCTCCCCCCTTCCCCACCTCCTTTCTCTTCAAGAAACCACTAGTTTTTCCCAAAAGCAAGAGACAGATTGCCTCATTCCTTTTGCAAGTAGGACATGTTATATTAAAAAAGAAACATTACCTAAAGTTTAACACAAACTATTATTATAGACACAGCAGCATGGTCAAATGTGATTGATTTCACTGAATACAGTACACAGAATGAGACCTTAGTAAACAAACATCAGACACAAGGGTCAATTGAAAATATACTTGTAGCAAGAGTTTCAAATTGATCCATATTGAAATTTCCCATCTCTAACCAAGAATTCTCCATGTTCAATAAACTATATTAAGAGTAAAGTTCATATCATCTATGCTTTACGTGAGGTAACAATACACCGATATGTCATTCCATGAAGTGACATAATTATGTAAATGTTTTTCTATATTTCAATGATCCCAGGTCAAGTAGCCTCCCACTCCATATATTTTATAAAGCTGATGAAAATAATCGCAATTCTAACAAACAATGAAAGACTTTAAGGTTATACATACAACAGGATAGTAATACTCATCAAAAAGAAATTATGGTGAATTAATAACCTATCAGTGTCATAAAATTCATAGGAGATCATAAGAGTATTAAAAAGTTTATTGATATAAGGAAGAATTTATTCAGAGCAGACCAACAAATACATAAACTACCAACAGATGTAGCAAATAATCTACACAAACAGCCAAAATTTTAAATGAATGAGAACTTTACAAGTAATTTTTTTTTATCGTCAACAAAAGCTACCCTTCATCATCAAAAAACAGTGATCCAAAGGCCGCTGATAAAAACACTAAAATTTATACTAGCAAGATCATCTACCTCATCAAGAGCACACTCTTCTATAGGTTTCAGAGAATGGGGTGGATCCACAACTTCTCCCGACGGCATTTGTATTACAGCATGCCAACTGCATCATCAAAAACCCAACTATTGAAATATGTACCAGTTACATTGACAAGCCTCAACCAAATAACTATGAGCATAAGTATCTTATTCTATAACAAACAGAACTAACCAAACCATACAATTCTATAAAACCTAAAAATACATTTATTACATACTTAACAGTGACATTAGACCATATGAAAAATGAGCATCAGTTATTTATAAACATATACAGGATATGGCTACTAAACTATAAAGACAGTAAAAAAATCACTCGCAAAACTATAAACATCCTTGGACATCAGGAAATAATAACAAACTTATAGATAGGTAAGTGTTCAATCTAGACGGCAAACTGATAGATAATAAGAGAGCACTTACCTATCTAGACGGCAAACTGGACCTGAAGTGGCTCTTAGGAGAGTTCTTTTGACAGCTGATTTCCAGACAAAAGGAAATGTACCACCCTGAAAAGATCATTCAGAACTACTACTTAAGAAAGCAAAATAAAACTATGGTCTAAAAAGATGAAAATCAACACAAAGGGAAAAAGCTTACCCAACCAAAACTCCTAGCCAGGTCATTGCCAGTGCCAAGCGGAATGATTGCTACAGGAGGAACAGGCTCCCGACCCTGTTTGTTAAGTTCTCCAAGACTCCCTAGAACCCAACCAACTGTACCATCACCTCCTGCAACCTGCAGAATTATCCCTGAGTTAATAATTTCATGCTTTAATCTTTGGGAGCATTGGAAAACACCAATAGGTCCAATATGAGGCATGAAATCCCCATTATGATCATTAACAATTATGCAGAAGAAAAGCAATAAGGTTAACCTTGCACAAGATGTAAATGTAAGCTTTCCAAGGACATAGCAGAATTTACATACCACAACTCTTATCTTTTGACGAGTCTCTTTGGCACATGTGTCCCCAAGATCGGCTAACTTCTCTAAGAAACCCAATCCATACTGCACAAATTCGTTAGGCTTCACTTCTGATAGGTCAAAAACCTGCATTACAGATTATTCTCAATTCAACTGACCAACTTTCTTAAAAACACTAGACCAAGAAACTTAATGGAGAAAACATAGAGGAAGTTTAACCAAAACAAAAATCCAGATAAATAATTCTAAGCAGCCAACATTCAATTTACATAATCTCAAGCTGAACCCAACTGCATAATAAAGATTTTAGTCTTGTTTACAAAGAAAGGTGTCATCATAAGCAATAAAATTGAAATGTGCAAATCAATTTTTTTTTTTCTCGAGATGACATTCCTAACAGATATATTTTAGGTATTTCAGTTTTTTCACCAAAGGAGAGGAAAAAACAATAAAATAATAATAATAATAATAATAACAAAATAAAGGAGTATATAGAAGATCCATTGGTAGTCCAATCCATAACACCAACACCAACGTCCCAAAAATCTTAAGAATGACATATGCCTCCACTAGAAACATAAACCTTTTCCTATGGCAAGCAAATGGTAAAAATTCTTCCTCTTTATTTCTTTTTTTGAACCCCAAATCCCCCAACAACTTAGCAAATTTGAGCAGAAAGAGCTAATGGCAAACTCTATTGCATATGTATGACTTTCAGCATGCTCATCAGTCATCCATCAAGGAGGGGGGGAAAAAAAAAACCTCAGCGAGTTCATTACTATAACATCTTCCACTCTCAAAATTTACTAATTAACAAAGCAGCTGGTTGCCGGCCGGAAAAAAAAAATCAAAAACTTTACTGTTTTGCTACTCCACTGCGCTTCAAAATGCCCGTAAACCAATAAAAAATTTAAAAAAAAAACCGTCATTCATTAAAATTCAAAATCAAAGTACACCGATTAAATACATAACCCTAAAAAAAGCTAATAATAAATTAAAATAACCAAGAAATTCAAATAATCCATCAATTATAACAGTATAAAACTTTAAAACTAAATTAAATTAAAATAATAAATAAATAAAAGTTTGCAGCATATCCCAGTCCCGACAAGTGGACGCTCCAACCCGTTAACTTTACCGTGCCACTGTTTACCAATAATAACTTAGTGGCTCACTACAACAGTTAATCACGATAACGGTACGCAACTTCATACCGTCACGGTAACAGTACCGGAACTTCGTATTCAGTTACCAGAACATTCCCTTCCCCAGAAAAACACAACAAAAAATCAGTACATATAACAACAACCGTGAGCTTACCTGTTCTTCGCCCATCAACTGCTGCAACCTTTCCTTCAACTCCGGCCCGTCGTCCACCGCTCTTCAATAATAACACAACAACCGGCGCCTCGGGGGCTCGGCCTCAACGACGTCGTTTCCGTCAACGATTACTGACTCTCCGTCTCAGCCTCGTCGACGCTCTTCCGTTTAATGGCGTCATCAGGGCGTGTCGCAGGTACTCCGGTATCGAGAGTCGCCGCTTGAGCTCCTCCTTGTCTATTCGCATCCCGGAAGCCGCAGCTCCGGAACAGTCAATCATCGACGATCTCGCCGCGATACGCGTCGTGGACGACGCGAGTCCATCGGAAAGAGAACTTTGGAACAGTCAAAGACTAGTCACACTCAAGACTCCAGAGAAACGAATGAATGAATGGAGAATATCAAAATGGAGCAATTTGTTTAATATTAAAGTTGAGACGGAAATCATTAATTTTAGTTAAAAGTTAAAATTTTAAAGCTAGTAAAGTATAAAAGAGGCGGGGTTTAAGTGCAAGGTTTCAAAGTCAGTGGGATTTAAGTGAAACACTGTGTTGTGTGAAGAAATTTTGAAATGTAATAATGATTAATGAATAAATATCTGTTTAGTTGTTAAATACTTTTAATTATACTCAACTGCCGCTTGGCCTATCAGCTATCAACAAATTATTTTATTTTTTTTAGAATTTTTTTTTTTTCTGTTGGGATTTATTTAGGAATAATCATTTTTAGAAATTTTTTTTTCTAAATTGTAGGATAAATGAATGATGGTAAACAAAAATTGCGTATCAGTTTGAATAATTAGTTTGTAATAAATTAATTTGTAACATTGCTAAAATAAAATAATTTTATTTATTTTTAATGATTTTTATATGATATAAATATATAAATCCATAACTATGAGCCAAATTAATTTCGAGATTCTTAAGAGATGATTGTTATACTTAAAATATTGGATTAGGATTAAAATAAAGAAAAAGAAATCACTTGTTTACTTTTGACATAAATTAAGTCCTTAGATTGTATTTGAATTTTAAAATGAGTTAACCACTTTTTCCCATCCAAATAATGACTTAATGTCATTTTTTCCCACCCACACATTTTTAAATATCATTTTACAACCCAAATTTATATTCATTTACTACCCAAATATCTACAATGAACGGAAAGCAAACTCAGTCAAGCTATTGGGGGTTTTGAGGGGGGAGGTGTTGAGTCTGGTGGGCAGTTGGATTTTGATGGTCGGATTGATCAAAATTTGACTTGAGAGACGGCTACGAAATATAATCGCTCGATTAACGAGGTCAGCTGAAGCAAGTTTAAGGTTTTGGTGAGTGATAATCGGGAAGGAAATGGCGGTGGTGTGGGGTAGCACAAATGAATAATCGCCCATAAGCTGCTCCCGCCGACCTCATAATAACCAACGATTCTAGCATCATTACGACCCCAACCCACACCATTCTCTTCCCGATTATCACTCACCAAAACCCCTCAAACCTTACTTATGTCGACCCCGCAATCGTAATAATCGAGTGATTAGGGTTTATATAATCACCCCTCCAAAGTCAAATTCTGACCAATCATGACTCCCAAATCTAACATGCCACTATCAAAAACTCACCGATCTCCCCTCTTAAAAGCTCCTTGATTAATTTGTTCTTCATTCGCCGTTGAATCGGAAAGTATATTTTGGGTAGTAAATGGAAATAAATTTGGTAGTAAATGGTATTTTAAAGTTTGAAGTAAAAAAGTTCGTTAACCATTGTTTGGGTGGGAAAAAATTGCTACTTTATTAAAATTGATTTATTTACAATTTGCATTAATTTTGTAGATATATTGTATCTCGGCCTCCAAATATATATAAAATTAGTGATTAAATCATATTTTGAATAACATCCATATACATAATCAAAATAATGTGCTTTCTTTTTCTTTATATTGAAACTTGCATTAAAATATTCCTTTTAATTAGATTAAAAAGATAATTGCTATTTTGACTTATATGTTCTGTTCACATTGTTATGAAAATATCAATATTGACTTCATATTGTTTGAATAGTAACTAAGTTAGTTTGTCAATTTTATATATTCTTTGTTTAAAATTATAGTCAAAATTTTGATAATTAAGCATTTGAATAAAATAAAGACGTATTGGAAAATAGATGGTAATATTATATTATTAAATTATAAAATTATGAACAATAATTCTAGACTTTGTGGTATAATTTTGGTGAGTCAATCTCCAGTTGTGTGAACCAACAAAGATTTATAAAAAAGAGAGTTGATATAATAGGGTTTTATATAATTAATAAATAGATAATTTTCAAAAGGATATTTTTAGTAATTAAATTAAAGCAAATCATTTAGAAATTTTCATAGAAATAAAAGTAAATTTCTTATTCTTTATTTGTTTTCACCAACAATTTTTATATATTTTTTTTTTTTATTTCAATGTCATGCATAGATTATTTTGTATGAAATTTGCATATATTAACTTATATATTACTAAAACTCTTAAATCTTATAATTTGTCATTATAACACAGATGACAAAGACATTTCAATATATATATTAATTGAACAGCCAGTTTGTACATATCTCAACTAATTCTTGAGGTTCATTAACCTTACAGACTCAATGGATCAATGTAGTCACAAATGTGGTAATAATCATTTTGTGGAACTCGAAAACAAACTTTTGAGTAATAAATGGCATATTAGATTTGTTAAATGTCGGCAGCTTTACAAGTTTGCGCATGAATATTTCATAGTGTCCACCCATAGTTTTTTAGTGGTCCATAAATTTAATGTGTACGATTTTTTTAATTTCTAAAAATTAGAATAAAATGTATCAATCGGACTCAAAATGAACAGTATCATAAAAGTGGCATTGCATTTGGAGCAATCGTGACTTCAAATCAATCATAATGGTTTCCAATTTAGTAGACATGGATATGACAACCCAACCCAATAGTTATTAAACGATTACAATCTAAATCTAGGTGGAAAATAATTAATTTAAACTACTAACTGCCTAATTAATAAAGAAGACAAAGAAACCACACCACATGATAAACTCTTTAAATATTGAAGTTAGCTACACTTAGGATCTTGTATTCAAGTTACAGAGATGTTATATATCATATTTACATAATTATCTTAATCCATTTAGCTTAAGGTGTTTTGTAAACCTAGGATTAGATTGTCTCCCATGCGGGTCTAAATACCTCCTATATCTAATTAGAAGAAAAAAAAAAAAAAAAGGACAAAGATTTTCTTAATGGATGGTTGCATTTCCATTTGTATCATATTTATCAATTTTAATTGAGACCCATGTTTTCAACCTACCACACATGGTGCTCTACAATTTTTAATGCTTGCTTTAATTTATTTATGACATATCCTCTGCACCAATGCCTTCATAATTATTTCAAGATCACTTCAGATCTTACGAGGTAAATACTTTTGGTACTGCAAGAGTTTTGGTCTAACTAAACAGTATCTAATGGAATCTGTATAATAACTTTTACAATAACACTATGGACACCGAAAAGGTTACTCCGAATTTTGTACCGGTTTAGTGTAACACGCGTCTCATTTTTTATAATTTTTTTCTAGTGAACGGCCGTCCACACATTTGGACGGCCGTTCTCTCATATGGACGTCTGTCCATATTATATGGATGGCGTCCATATACAAGGGACGAGCTCCCATTAAAGGACGCCCGTCCCGATTAAATATACAATTAAAAATTTTGTAAAACATTAGGGATGACTGTTCACCATTATGGACGGTTGTCCATTACTTTTG